CACTAATGAACAGGGACATCCAGATCCCTTCAGACATCAACACTTCCCAATCTCTCACCATTTAAGAAATATTCTGAAACTTGTGGGAAATAGTTAAAAATCTGAAAGAAAAAGTGCAGTACTTTATTTTCTACAATGGTGTTTATATCATCTTTGAAGTGCAAGATTCTACGTTCTATGCAATCTATTTCCCTTCATTATCCAAAATGATATCCCACAGCATCTTTAAAATCGTATAAAATTAAAGAGTGCGCTGTAAATTTAAGGCCTTAGAATGGGAAATGGTGACTCAGAGAATCAATAACAGTTAATGTCTAGCTGAAGAATGACACAAACAGCCTCTGGCTAAAATGTGAAAAGAAACATAAGTGCTAAAACGAAAAGCAGGAGACTTGAAGTCTCTAATTAACCCACTTTAAATGGTTCTTGTGCAATACTCCTGGTCAAAGAGAAGATAAGCCTGGAGCAGCAGCAGAGAAATCTAACGGCATGCATAACAGGGGAGCAACAGAGAGCTACCTTGTCAAGGAGGGGCTCAGGCCTTAAAAGCTTTTACCTTGGACTGACATGGCTACGAAGCTCTGGTTCCAGTCTTGTGACCGGACAGCTCCAGCCAAATTCGAGGGGGGCTAATCACTTCGATAGCCTTCTCTGGATTTCCTGTGGCTGCATCTATTTGCTGCACAGCTGCACAGCTGCACTTGCATGTAGCTGCTCCAATATTGTGTGGGAGGCGATCAGCATTCATTTCTGGTTCCAGAAGTTGGTGCTGCACATGGGCTTCCGGGATATTGGGAAATTAATGAGATTAAAGGCTGATAAATCCACAGGGCCAATTAATTTATAGTGTAGAGTACTTAAGGAAGCAGCTCAAGAAATAGTGGATGCATTGGAGGTCAACTTTCAAGATCCTCAGACTCTAGAACAATTCTGATGGATTGGATGGTAGCTAATGTAACTCCACTATTTGGAAAACAAAGGTGGAGAGAAAACACGAAATTATACAGTTCTGTCCTGGTTTGTCTACCAAAATACAACATCTCACATGATCTAAATTAACCACCATTTGCCACTCTGCGGCCTATTCGTCAATCTGATCAAGGTGCCGTTGTATTCCGAGATCATCTGCACTGTCCACTACAACACCTATTTTGGCGTCATCTGCAGGCACACCATTGGTCACAGGCCTCCACTCCAAGAAGCAACCCTCTACTAACACCTCTGTCTCCTACTTTCAAGCCAATTCTATGGTCTCAATGTGGACTTTACCAGTTTCAAAATCACCCCACCCCCAGCTTCATCCCATGATCAACCCTCCCTCTCATCCCCACCTCCTTGACCTGTCACAACCTGTCCATCATCTCTCCCACCTATCCACTCCTCCCACCTCACTGACCAATCCCCACCACTGCATATCTGCACTCAACTATCATCATCCCACCTACCTTTCCCCAGACCCCACCCCTCCTCTCTCTATTTATTTCGGAGCTCACTTCCCCCTCCCCCATTTCTGAAGAAGGGTCCCGACCCGAAACATGAACTTTCCTACTCCTCTGATGCTGCCTGGTCTGCTGTGTTCCTCCAACTCCACACTATGTTATCTCTATCTGATTGGCTAGCTCCCCCTGGATCCCATGTGATCTAACTAACCAGTCTATTATGCAGAACCTTGCATAATGCTTTGCTGAAGTCCATAAGACAATACCTACCAGTCTGCCTTCAATCTTCTTTGTCACCTCTTCAAAAAATTGAATCAAGTCAGTGATACATGATTTCCCACACACAATTATCAAGTTTAACAACTTTAATGCTTGAGCACCTTCCCCATGCTTTCCCCCACCCCCAAACACTTATTACATAGTCTGCTATTACACACAACCTACCACTAGCCTCTAGCCACGAATAGGCTCCATCAGCACTAGTCTTTCTCCTAGGCTGACTGTTATCCATTTTTTGTCTGTCCAACTGTTTTTCTCTTTCTCTGGGCTCTATCCCCACCTATCATTTACTCCTTTCCCCCAGCCTATCTTCTGCATATAAACGAACTCTTTTCTAGCTACCATCGGTTCTGAAGGGTCACCGGTCCAAAAACATTAACTCTGATTTCTCGCCACAAGGGCAGCCAGACCTGCTGAGTTTTTCCAGCAATTTCTGTTTCTGCTTCTGCTTCCAACAGAATCAGTATGGAAAAACAGATGGGGAAATGGTGCTCGACAAATCTACTGGAATACTTTGAAAATGTAACTAGTAAAGTTGATAAGGGAGAACCAGTGATATGGTTTACTTGGACTTTCAAAAGGTTTTCAATAAGGTTCCATGCAAAAGATTAGCATGTAAAGTTAAAGCACACGGGATTGAGGGTAGTGTACTGAACGGATAGAGATCCATTTGGCAGACAGGATACAAATTCTTAAAACACATGTGCAAGGCAAGTACTTTTTTTAAAAAAAAAAAAAAGGGTGGTAGGTGCCTGGTGCCTGGAACACGCTGCCAGTGGAGAAACAGATATGATAGGAACATTTAAGAGGCATTGAGACAGACACGTGAACAGGCAGGGAATAGCTGGATACAGACTGTGTGCAGGCAGAGTCAAGCAGTTTAGAATGGTATCAAGGTTAGCAGAAATACAGTGGGCCGAAGAGCATGTTCCTGTGCTGTGCTGTTTTGTCATGCTAAGAAGAGAAGAATAAATGGTACTTTTCCTGAGTGCCAGCCAGTGACTAGTGGGGTACTGCAGAAATCAGTACTTGGATCCCATCTATTCACAGTATGTATTAATGATTTAGATGAGGGAACTAAATATAATAGTCATACAGCACTGAAACAGACTCTTCGGTCCAACAAGTCTATGCCAAATATAATCCCGAACTAAACTAGTCCCACCTGCCTGCTCCTGGCTCCTATCCCTCCAAACCTTTCCTATTCATATATCCATCCAAATGTCTTTTAAATGTTGTAATTGTACCCCCTTCATCAGGAAGTTCATTCCACATGTGAACCACTCTGTGTAAAAAATTTGCCTCATGTCTTTTTTAAAATCTCTCTCCTCTCACCCTAAAAATGTGCCCCCAGTCTTGAAATTCCCCATTTTAGGGACAAGACAACTATCATTAACTTTATCTATTCCACTCATTATTTTATAAACTTCTATAAGGTCACCTCTCAACCTCCTACACTCCAAGAAAAAAGTCCCAGCCTATCCATCCTTTCCTTATAACTCAAAGTTCCATACCCAGAACTATCCTGGTAAATCTCTTCTAAACCCCCTCCAGCTTGATAATAAAAGACATAAGCAGCAATTTTTAAAAAAAAAAAAACAGAAGGTGGCTCATGTGTGGAAAGAACTTTCTGATGAAGTGGTGAACACGAGTACAATTACAGTGTTTAGAAGACATTTGGATGTATATATGAATAAGAGGGAGGCAATGGCCTAGTGGTACTATCGCTGCACTATTAATCCAGAGACCTAGATAATGTTCTGGGGACCCAGGTTCAAATCCCTACATGGCAGATGGTGGAATTTGAATTCATTAAAATATCTGGAAGTAAGAATCTAATGAGGACTACGAATCCATTGTCTATTTTTGGAAAAACCCATCTGGTTTACTAACGTCCTTTAGGGAACAAAACTGCCATCCTTACCTGGTCCAGCCTACATGTGACTCCAGACCCACAGCAATGTGGTTGACTCTGAACTGCCCTCTGGGCAATTAGGGATGGACAATAAATGCTGCCTAGCCAGCGACACCCTCATCTCGTGAATGAATAAAGAAAAAAAAGAAAGCTTTGGAGGGATGTAGGCCAGGTGCTGGCAGGTGGGACTAGTTTAGTTTGGGATTATATTTGGCATAGACTAGTTGAAGAGGAGTCTGTTTCACTGCTGTACAACTACAACTCTACGACTATTATAATTAGTTCCCTCCACTAAATCATTAATATATATTGTGAATGGATGGGGTCTAAGCACTGGCTCTTGCAATATCCCACTAGTCACTGGCTGCCAATCAGGAAAAGACCATTTATTCTTTTCTTTTTAGCATAACAAGACAGAACAGCACAGGAACATGCCCTTTGGCCTGCAGATTACACAAAGCTGGGTGGGAGAGTAAGATGTGAAAAAGATGATTCACTGTGATTTGGACAGGTTGAGCGACAGGGCAAATGTATGGCAGATGAAGTGTAATGCAGATAAATGAGACGTTATCCACTTTAGTAGCAAAAACACAAAGACAGATCAGCATTGCCTTAGATAGATTGGGAACAGGGGCAGTGCAAGACTGGGATATCCTTGTAACTCCCTGTGAAAGGAGTACAAGAAGGTTTACCAGACAGATTCCTGGGTTGCCAGGATTGATGGATGAAGAGAGACCGGATTAATTAGGATTATAGTCACTGGAATTTAGAATTTGATGACAGGCCAATGTTAACACACTTTGCTTCTATAAGAATGGGGGGAATCCCGTAGAAACCTATAAAATTCTAATAGACCCACACAGGATAAATGCCGGGACGGTCTTCTAGATGAGCAGGAATCCAGGACCAGGAGTCATAGTCTAAGGTCACGATACAGGCCACAGCGCATCTTGTGGTGCAGTGGTAATGTCCCTATCTCTGAGGGAGTAGGCCTGGGTTCAAGTCTCACCTGCGCCAGAAATGTGTACTAACATCTCTGGACAGGAGGATTAGAAATATCAATGATGTAGGCCACTGAGGAGTGAGAAGAGGAGAAATTTCTACATCTAGAGAGTGGCAAGAATGTGGAATTCACTGCCAGAGAAAGTGGCTGGGGGTAAACATTGAATGTTTTCAAGAAAGAATTAGGTATAGTTCTTAAGGCTAAAGGGATCAAAGTGTATGGGGAGCAAGAGGGACCAGGGTACTGAGCTGGATAACCAGCCATGTTTATAATAAGCAGCAGAGCAGGCTGGAAGGTTTGAAAGGTCTATTCCTGCTGTTATCTTCTATGTTAATATGACATTCCCATCAGGGAGGGCACTCACCGTCCTTAGAATGAGTTGGTGCGCCATCCGATCATCTTGCACCTGGAATTTGTATTCCTTTCTTCCTTCCTCCAGCACACATCCTGAAGAATCAAATTGGAAAAATTAACCTGACAACTCATTTTCAAGGTGCACACAACTCATTTTTGTTGGCAGCAAAATTTTGCAACTATGTTTGTAAAAAAAAAAAAAGGGGACATGTTAACTGTCATAAGAGAAATAAAAACAATCGAATCATTGGAATAGGAGAAGGCCATTCAGCCCAATGAGCCCACTCCATTTTGTCCAACCATGGCCGATCGAACACTCAATTCCTTTCACCCACACTATCCCCAAAATGCCACTAGTAAACAGCAATATATCAAAGTGTTTTAAACAGAGGCAGAAGACTGAGCATCCACACTTCTCGGAGGCAGAGAGCTATGAAGATTCACAACCCTGAGCAATAAAAATTCTCATTGTGGTCCTAAATAAAAACCAAAAACAAAAATTACCGCAAAAACTCAGGAGGTCTGGCAGGATCTGTAGAGAGATAGCAGAGTTAATGCGTTGAATCTAGTGGTCTTCCTCAGAACTCCATTAATTGTGCTTTCTCTGCACAGGTGCTGCCAGACCTGTTGAGTTTTTCCCAGTAATTTCTGTTTTTGTTATTAATTTCCAGCATCTGTAGTCATTTGTTTTTCTTTTGGTCCTAAATGGCATCCCCTTCTTTTTAAATTGTGCCCTTGGCTCCAGATTCCTCAACCAGGGAAATATGTTATCCTTGATATTGGATGGATGCAGGTAGGAGGGGAAAGATTCAAAAAAGGCCTGAGGGATAATTTTTTCACGCCAAGAGTGGTGAGTGTATGGAATGGGCTGCCAGAGGAAGTGGCAGAGGCTGGTACAAGTACAACATTTAAAAGGCATCTGGATGGGTACATGAATAGGAAGGGTTTCAGGAGGGATATGGGCCAAATGGGACTACAACAGATTGGGGTGTCTGGTCGATGCGGGTGAATTGGACCAAAGGGTCTGTTTCCGTGCTGTATGACCCTGTGACTTGATGGCAGGACTCCCATCTCGGAAACAAGTCTGGTGAGTCTTTGCTGGACTCTCTCCATTGCGATATCATCTTTTCTGAGAGAAGACAACCGAAGCTGCACATTTACTCCAGGTGCAGTCTCACCAGCAACTATACAATTGAAGCAAGACTTCACTACTCCTGTACTCAAATCCTCTTGCAATAAATAACAATATTCTGTTAGACTTCCTCTTGCAGCACCTGCATGTTAGTCCTCACTAACTTGTTGACAAAAACACCTAGATCCCTTTATTTGGCACAGTGGCTAGCACCACTGTCTCACAGGGGTCAGGGTTTCATTCCATCCTCAGGAGACTGTTTGCACATTCTCCTTGTGTCAGCATGGGTTTCCTCCAGGTGCTCTTGTAAATGCAGGCTGACAGGTATTGGGTAGGGGGTAGGTCTGGGTGAGATGCTCTTCGGAGGGGCAGGTGGACTTGATGGGCTGAATGGCCTGCTTCCACACTATAGGGATTCTATGATTTAAATTTTCTAACCTCTTACAAATGAAGAAATACTCTGCACATCTCTTCCTGCCAAAATGGTTAACCTCATATTTTTAAATCCCCTTTCTGGGCCCTATTCAGTCTTACTCCTCCTTTGACCACCCTTTCACTATTTATGTACTATTAAAAGCTTTGAGATTCCTTCTTATGTCAGTTGTAGTGTGTTTGTTATCCCCTTATGCTTTTCTTATGTGCTTCTTCTCCTCCCTTCAGCATTCCGCTTTCTTCATTACATTTTCTACCTGACATTCACACTTTTTCCTCTTTATCTTAATTATTCCTACCTTTTCTTAATCTAGGGAGCTCTGGATTTGTTTGCTCTTCCTGGCCCTTTTGAGGGATTAAGCCTCGAATGTGTTCAAACCACTTTCTCTTTGAAGGTACTCAATTGTTCAACGGAGGCTGTGACTAATTGTTTTTTGGAAATCAAAAATCTATGAAGGGAGACAACAAACAGCCAGGAAAGTGGAACTGAGGAAGATGATCAGCCTTGGTCACACTTAACAGCAGACTCAGCTGTATCGTTGACTCCTGCCCCTATTTGTTATGAACATGAACTTCATAAGCTGGTAATACTTTTATGAGTCTCCTTTCTTTCAAAGGTGAAACAGAACATTGCAGCATGTGGGTTAGTCATCTGTGCAGAAACATGCCCATGTGATCTGTAACTGAAGCTGAAAATTAAATGACAGGATTCCTACCTCGGGAACATTGTGAAAGGACAAGAGAGTAAAAAGACACACAAAGCACAGAGGGTCTATGTTTAACGTTTCCTCTTTCAGCATCTTTTAGCTTTAATGTTAAGTTAAGAGGACAGGAAATCTCAATAAGTGTCACAAGATTAGTTTTAACATTGTTTACTGCAGTACGTTACGTGACCCAATTGTTTCCATTTTCTCAGACTTGAGACAACTCGTAGCTTTCTAAGCCAAGGTCTCTCTCCAAGCTGAACCGCTGCCCCAAATTTTCAGCCACCAGCCCCCTGGCCTACCAGACCCCATACCTGCCAGTATCCCAAGGATCTGTCCAGGCAAGATGGCGTTGCCACCCCTCACAAATCCAAAACAACCTGCTGAGCATCAATCTCAACCGAGCTAAGCAGTACTTTTCTTCTGCAGATGCCAGCTATTCCTTCCCTTACAAGGTGGCAGCTGGAACAGCAAGACCAACAATTATCAGAACAAGTGCCCATGATCCTCTACAGGGCTCAGGACTTTGTGTGCGCACGCATGAGACAGAGCGCGAAACCATGAGAACGCAAGAGAGACAGCGAGCAAGGTAAAGGCAAAGGTGAAAAGCCATTATAGGAAATACAGTGAGTGGAATATCAACTTATTTTAACAGTTATCTGCAAGATGTGATGGGTCTACTAATCCAGGGACCCAGACAATGTCTCAGGAGCCCAGGTTCAAATTCCACAATGGCAGATGGTGGAAATTGAATTTAATGAAGAAAAGCTAGAATTTACAGTTTACCAATGTCTATGAAGTTGTTGTCAATTGTTAGAAGAAAATTGATTCACTAATGTCTTCTAGGGAAGGAAACTGCCATCCTGAACCTGGTTTGGCTTCTATGTGACTCCAGACCTGCAGCAATGTGGTTAACTCTTAACTGCCCTCTGGGCAATTAGGGATGGGCAATAAATGTTGGCCTACCTGGCCTACAATGAATGAATTAAAAACAAAACAATGTTAACAGCTATTTTATTTAGGCATGCAGTCTTTTAAAGTACAGAGTACGTGTTCAAATAATTTTCTTTGTTATGGAACTCATCTCCAGTTTTAATGTGAAGTTTATGGAACTAATGCCAATTCCAACTTTAAGTTGTGACTTGTGGGAATGCAACCACAACTTTAAGTGAGGATATCCTGTACTGCTGCGTGGAGCAGGAAGCAAATACGGCTTTAATGTGTAACGTGAACAGTGTGCTAACAAGAGTTGCTGACCTGGGTCTTGCTAGGTCTGCTTTGGAATACACCGTCCAAGAAGCCAAATTGAAGGACCTGACAGGGCAGGGAGACATAAACCTGCTATAAGTGCTTTGAGACTTAATCTTGTACTGAACCCTTCTCGCACAGTATATTCCAATTGAGTTAATCAGCTAACATGAAAATACCCAGGTTGATGTATTCATTGCTCAAGTATTATTTGTTCTATGTTGCTCAAAGTGAAAAACCAGCCTAAAGAAGCCTTAAAATGTAAAAGGATTTCACAGATAGTAGGAACTGCAGATGCTAGAGAATCTGAGATAACAAGGTGAAGAGCTGGATAAACACAGCAGGCCAAGCAGCATCAGAGGAGCAGGAAAGCTGACGTTTCGGGCCTAGACCCTTCTTCAGC